TGCAATAGCCATAAAATAAAAAATAAACACATTTTAGGAAGTCTCTCTTGTGGCGCCTGGGTGGTTCAGTCAGTTAAATGTCCGACTTCGGCTCAGGTCATGATCTCGCAATTTGTGGGTTTAAGCCCTGCATCGGGCTCTGTGCAGACAGCTCAGAGCCTGGAGCCTGTTTTGGATTCTGTGTCTCCCTCTCTCTGCCCCTCCCCCACTCATGTTCTGTTTCTCTCTGTCTCAATAATAAATAAAAACATTAAAAAATTTAAAAAAATAGAAAGTCTCTCTTGGGTTTTTTTTCTTTTTTCCTTTTTCCTTTTTTTTTTTGCAAGTTTACTCAAACCTTAGCAGTAAATTCAACACTTTTAGGATTAGCATTACAACTCCTGAGAGATCCCAGCTGGAATGGAACAGGCTCCTGCACCAGTAGGTACATTGCTATTTTTTCCCCTCTTCCCCTCTCTCACTCTCTCTCTCTCTTTTTTCCTAATTTGTCTAAAGTTTTCTCCAGCCTTGGAACTGACTTAATCTTATTTCCCCCCACTTGAAGGGGTGAACAATACAAACATACCACATTTTGGCTCACCCAACATGTTTTAAAGAAATGTTTGAACCCTTCCTCCTCCCACCTGAAGGTCAGAACAAAACCTAAAGATATCATCCAGCCTGCACTTTTTAATTTCTTCACCTTAGCTACCATGACCAAAAGCAGCCAATAGATCCAATTCTCCTAGGGTTGGATCTATCATTTTTAATTCTGTAGGTAACCTTCAACTTTTACAACAGACATAATCTCAGCTGCTGTTTCATACCACAGATGACTAGGTAGCTGTTGGGAAGTGAAGGTTCATAGTTGTATCCCTTTAATACCTCCTTTCTGCAAATGCCGTTTTAGCCATATTTCAGTGAGTCAGGGCTGTTTTTAATAAATCCCACTTCTGACACCAACTGCCACTCACGCGCCTCCCCCTCCCCCCCAGGTTAAGGTTTGGCTAGAAAAATCCACAGAGTATAGTTATACTTATGGATAAAATTTATTACACTAAAAGGATACAAAGTAAAATCTAAAATGGTACAGGGCATGTTGGGTGAAGTCTGAAGAAAGCCAGACACAAACTTAAAAAAAAAATCCTTTTTTTCCATTGAAGACTTATAGTATGTGCTTAATTTCTCCAGTAATGAGTTTTGGCAACACGTGTGAAATGTTATCTACATTCTCATTTGCGACTTAGTGCCCATGGTTTTTAATAGGTGCTGCTTATGTGGGGACCCTGCTGGGACTGTATGTTGTAATCCTACAAAATTCATATGTTGAAGCCTAAATCTAATATGATGGTTTGGAGATAGGGGCTTTGGGAGATAAACAGATAAGCGGGTGGAGTCCTCATGAATGGGATTAGTGCCTGTGATGGTTAATTTTATGTTGATTTTATGGGGTGCCCAGATTAAACACTATTTCTGGATGTGTCTGTAAAGGTGTTTTTAGATGAGGTTAGCATTTGAGTTAATGGACTCAATAAAGTTGATTGTCCTCCCCAGTGTGGTGGGCCTGATCTAATCAGTTGTGAGTGAATAGAACAAAACAGAGAAGGAGGAATTTGCTCTTTTTTTTCCTGCCTCACTGCATAAATTGGGATATCACATCTTCTTCTGCCCTTGGGCTTGGATTTACACCATTGTCTCCCCTGGTTACCAGGCCTTTAGACTTGGACTGAATTATACCACTGGCTTTTCTGGGTCTCTAGTTTGTAGATGGCAGACTGTGAGGCTTATAAGTCTCTATAATTGCATAAGCCAATTCCACATACATCTTCATATTTATACCTTTATCTCCTCATCTTCCAACATAAGAAGGGTTCAGAACCCCAAGAGATAGATGTCACTCAAAGAAGTTTTTAAAATAATGTCCTGATTCTTTTCCTCAAACTACTTTTAAGCAATAATTAGGTATGACCTGCTCTGGTTTTTCGATCCTCTCTGGTCATAGACTTAGTATTTTTGTTTCAAAAATTGGAAGAAAAGACATTCCTGTCTCAAGAGGAATAGAAAAGAAGATGTTTATCTAGAGTTAAGTTTTGTGGACATACCTGTCCTCTGTTTCCCCAATGAAGTTACTGTATTTCTTTCTTTAACAATAGAGACAACCAATAGTGGTGGCATACAGTTATAGTTATAACTTTTCTCATCTGGGTCATTGAGAAACAGGCTTTCTGCATTCTATAATAAAAATAATACAAAGTTACAAGCCTGTATCTCTCACTATTTAAAACAAGAAGTAAAAATGTTGCAAGCTATTTTATGCTTTGGTTATTTTCCCTTAGCAACTTAGAAATTGTGGTACTATGCTCTGGAAAACTGGTCACAATTATTAAGCTTATCTTTTTGCAGCTCAAAGAGTTTTCATATGGAAAACGGCCAAGAATACCTCTGTTTACAAATGCAAGATTTCTCAAAGTTTTCTTGCAATACTCGTAGAATGGTGGAGTCTGGACTTCATCATTCTACTTCTCGTTTCACCTTGGGCAAGTGATGATCTATTTGAGTCTCACTGCCTTTATCTAAAATGTGATACAAATCTCCCAGGCACAGGGCTGTTATAATAAAAATAGCATATGTAAAATATTTGACTTCATACCTGGTACAAAGCAGGAGTTTAATAAATGCATTATTCCTGTTACCTCAAAAAAATGCCCACTAAAATGCAGGGACTATAATGTTCATAGAAGCTTTATTTATAATAGTTCCACCTGAACACAACCCAATGACAGCCCAAAATGACCATCAGTTAGTAGATTGAATATTTTTTGATATCCTTATTTTATTTAATTTTTAATATAATTTATTTTCAAATTGGCTTGCATAAAACACCCCACACTCATCCCAACAAGTGCCCTCCTCAATGCTTATCACCCACTTTCCCCTCTCCCCCACCCCCCATCAACTGTCAGTTTGTTCTCTATGTTTAAGAGACTCTTATAGTTTGTTTCCCTCCCTCTCTGTTTGTAACTATTTTTTCCCCTTCCCTTCCCCTATGGACTTCTGTTAAGTTTCTCAAGATCCACATAGGAGTGAAAACATGATATCTGTCTTTCTCTGACTGACTTATTTCACTCAGCATAATACCTTCTAGTTCCATCCACATTGCTGCAAATGGCATTATTTTATTCTTTCTCATTGCCAACTAGTATTCCATTGTATAGATAAACCACATCTTCTTGATCCATTCATCAGTTGATGGACATTTAGATTCTTTCCATAATTTGGCTATAGTTGAAAGCACTGCTATAAATGTTGGGGTACACGTGGTCCTGTGAATCAGCACTCCTGTATCCTTTGGATAAATTCCTAGTAATGCTATTTCTGGGTTATAGAGTAGTTCTATTTTTAATTTTTTGGGGGAACTTCCACACTATTTTCCAGAGCGGCTGCACCACTTTGCATTCCCACCAATAGTGTAAGAGGGTTCCCGTTTCTACACATCCTCGTCAGCAGATTGAATATTTTTGCTGCTAGGAATTTACCCAAGGGATACAGGAGTGCTGATGCATAGGAGCACATGTACCCCAATGTTTATAGCAGCACTTTCAACAATAGCCAAATCATAGAAAGAGCCTAAATGTCTATCAACTGATGAATGGATCAAGAAGATGTGATTCATCTATACAATGGAATACTACATGGCAATGAGAAAGAATGAAATCTGGCCATGTGTAGCAACATGGATAGAACTCGAGCGTGTTATGCTGAGTGAAATAAGTCAGGCAGAGAAGGACAGATACCATATGTTTGCACGTATATGAAGATTAGGAGGAACTTAATGGAGGACCATAGGGGAGAAGAAGGGGAAAAATAGTTGGGGAGAGGGAGGGAGGCAAACCATGAGAGACTCTTGAATGCTGAGAACAAACTGAGGGCTGATGGGGGTGGGGGCGGGGGGAAGGGGGGTGATGGGCATGGAGGAGGGCACTTGTGGGGATGAGCACTGGGCGTTCTATGGAAACCAACTTGACAATAAACTATGAAAGAAAAAATATTTGGGATACTCATGCAATGCAGTACTATATACCATGAACTACCCTTACTGCAAAAGTATGGATAAATCTCACCAATGTAACATAGAATGATACAAAATAATACATTCTGCATAAATCCATTGAAACTAGGTTCAAAAACAGGCAAAATTAATCTATAGTGACAGCAGTCAGAAGTCATAACCTTTTGGAAGGAAGATGGATTGGAGGAAGGAAAAAGGGAGCCAGCTGGGGTGCTGAAAATGTGTTATGTCTTCACCTGCATAATGGTGGTTATATATGGCTATATGCATGTAAAAAATTTGTCAAACTAAGCACTTAATATTTGTACATCATATACATACGTTTATATCATTTACATTTATACAGATATAAATAATATGTCAATTAAAAAAACTGCTCCCTTAATCCCAGGATTTTTGTATCAATATCAATTTTATTTACTAGGAGCATATCTAGCAGACAATATAACATGTCAAAAGCTGGGCATCTAGCAGGCTGTAGTCAATCTGTCCCTTGTAAGTGGCCCCATTTCAGAACTAGCCTGGAGCTGACAGGCATCTTATAAGGGTCAAGCTCCATCATCATTGACAGCTGGAGATGCCATCACATGCCATCGGCAGCAAAGCACAGGGAAAACCAGGCGGTGGACTGTGCTTCCCACCCTTAGGCTTGGAGGCACAAGCCCCAGCAATGGAAGGATTAAAAAGCCTCAATTTAAAAAGACAGGGGGAGGGGAGGGAATGTGGGCTGCACAATTTATAAATAGACATTCCCTGAGGCTGCCTGATGGTGAAGTGGTTGTTTAGTAAATCTTTCTCCCTTAAGAATCCCATTATCGGAGGGCGTTTGAAAATACCAGTTTCATTTTGTCTTTTGGGGGAGATCCTGGGTTTCATCAAGTCAGCCCTGTTGGACGATATTGCTCTCTGTCAGATCTAGAGACAGGCCTTCCGTACTTTGAATCACCTACACATGGAGCACAAAGATGATGATGATGATGATGATGATGTGTCTTTTGCCAAATGGATGAGCAGCTTCTGGGGTCACAGCTGGATGGAAGAGAATGAGAGAGGACTCCGAGACCATCACGGATCACAAGATGCCAGTTACAGGAAAACCTCCCTGCCCTGCCCAGTGAGTTATTATCAGAGAACCAGGGGAGCTGGACTAGGGGAGGGGGTTTCTGTTGGATAATTTTTGAAAAGGCCTTTGGGATAAAATTTTCTTTGGTTAAAAATCAGTACTCCTAAACCGTTTTATACCCACAAAAATCTCTCTTATTATTTTATCTTGTTCTCCAGGGGACCTGATGTTCATCTATTAGGTAAAGATTTCTTCATTTTTAGTAGTCTAAGATATCTTCAACTACTATGCAGAGCTACTGATAATAAACCTGAGACAATCCTTCTGAGGGTTAATATAATTCAAGCCAAAGGAAAGAAACTTGATATTATAGTTTGTGTTGCATCAGCGTGGATCAATGTGTGATTTCCGATAGTCTTTTTAAAATGCTGAAAATAGCTCTACTATTTCATAACCTCTAGAGAATTGGTGATTCCACATAATAACTCACTACCTTTGATAAATATGATATACCTTTTCTTCTGGTTCCCCTTTGGTTTCCTGAGGGTAGAAGGAGCCAAAATTGTCCTTCCCTCAGCAAGGCAAACACCCAGTGTCTAGGAAGCTAGATGCAAATAGGAAAGCCCCTGACAGGGAGTGAGTGGGCCTGACCAGGTGAGGACTCAGCAGCAGGTACGGGCAGTGGGTCTCTCTGTTTACTGCGGTGCTAGAAGACTCCGCCGCAGACACATGTGTTCTCTGTTTCCCAGTTACGCAGCAATAATAGAGCTTTTCCTCCTCTCAAGTCACTTAGAATTCTAGCTGTAGAGAATACATTCCCAACCTGCTTCTGTCAACCCCAGAAACAAGTAAGTTTTAGGGTAATGTTTTTTTATTTCATTTTCATCTCCAGAATTCTCAGATGCATAATGCCTGTAAGGGATATAAAAGTGTGTAAGGCAAAATCTCTTTTACTCCCATTGACCAGTAAGTCTTGAGGAATGTCTTTAGGACACAAATATTTGAAAGTAGGTTTCTTACCAAGTGCATACTCAGGCACTAAGGGTGAGTTTCAATAGCTCTTTGAGCTTCAGGGACCTTAAGTAAAAAAGATAAGAGGCTGGATTGGATGATCTCTGGGAAGCCTTCTAGCACTAACTGTCCATGATTCTGTTGTAAATGAACACTTGCGTATCACACTCTTATCTTAATCTCTTATGATCCACTTCAAGTGAGGTATTCACAATGTGTGAACGGAAGTACAGGTAGTGTCCAGTTGCAGATAGTGAGGACCAGGGAAAAACAAGGAGAAAAACTGTGATTTGCTATTTATCTCAACAACCCTTTGGAGCCACTGAAAATAGGATAACAAAGGAAAAAACATGACTTTTAAAATACAGTTTTGTTGAATAAATTTTACCATCTACTAGACTTTTAAATCTGAGATAATTCAGTCTTTTTAGAGAATCCACTTTTAGGTTGCAGTGTTGCTTGCCTTAAACTATCAGGGCAGAATTTGTTATGGATGACATTTCTAAACGGTGTCCATGTATCTTTTCCTGCTCAAACTAACTTCAAGCATTTTCCTGAATTAACCTGTTTAGATTTTCTTACTTAACAGTGAATTCCACAATTATCAGACTAACATGCAGAAAGTATGTTCTTATTTAAGGATGCAAAGCATGGAGTAAAAATGACCACCTTACTCAATAGAATAAAAAGAGTATAAGCACAGAACACAGAGCGGGGGACCCAGAGTGAGGCGGGCAGAGCCCCAGGAAATAGGAGTCTGACTCTACCTCTCGTCACATTATGCCACATATATATGAAGAGAGTCTATAGTTGGATACTTAACTTTTCTAACTCTAAAATGTGCTCAGGTTTTTCTTACCTTAGAGCTATGAGAACCATTAGGTTTTCATTTTTTTGTGTGTGTTTTGCTTTGAGCTCAATGAATAACATAAAAAGAAAAGCTTACTCTCAGCCTTGTCTCTTTTCTTCTCTCCTCATTGCTCCAATCTAAGACTCTTTCCTTCTCAACCTATTAGTAACCTGTATCCATCAATGTTACATGCATTGGAAGAGAAGAGTTTTCCCTCCTTTCCCATTTGAATGTGGTTTCTAATATGGCTTTCAGCCTAATGATTCCTGCAAAACCATAGTGATGGAGCCTTGATTCATTGTACATATTTATTGAATATCTACTATGTATGTCCGGCATTACACAAGGCTCTAAAGGTTTCTAAGGTACAAGAAGACATACAAAATCTCTGAGCTTGTGGAACTTTCAGTCTAGTGGAAAATACAATTTGGCAGAAAGAACAAAGTAGACAAGGGGTAGATCTTGGTCTTTCTCAGAGAACACTATTTTTTGACGCCTCAGTTTAATAATCTATGATCACTGATTTAGAGTGAATTTAAAAATCTAACTTTACTGTCCTGATGTTCTTTGTGGGAAAAAAATGAAGTGATATGAAGTCTCTTTCATTAATTGAACTGATGTGCCTTCTACCTCCAGCGCCACATGAATACACACGTGAAGTAGAAGTTTCTGTATTCCTTATTTATTTTGCTCACTGAAAGTGGATTTTTAATACTTTAGTCCATTCAGCTATCTAGGCATCTTCTGCAGCTTACCATGGTTCTCTTACTATTGTTTGGCATAGTTTGGGCCTATAGGCCGGAGATTAGGCTAAATGAAAGGAGTCTTCAAGAAGGAACCAAATTCCCTGGCCTAGGGCTTTGCTAATTCCATTAAAAAAATTTTTTTTAATGTTTATTTATTTTTGAGAGAGAGAGAAAGAGACTGAGTGCGAGTGGGGGAGAGACAGAGAGAGAGGGAGACACAAAATCTGAAGCAGGCTTCGGGCTCTGAGCTGTTAGTACAGAGCCCGACGGTGGGGGACTTGAACCCACCAGCTGCAAAATCATGACCTAAGCCCAAGCCGGACACATAACCAACTGAGGCACCCAGGCTACCCTGGCTTTGCTAATTCTAAATGCTTTCTCAGTGCTTCCTCTATGCTCCAAGGTAGCACAGTATATGTTTGCCCACATGATATCATTTGAGGGGATATAAAAATAAGCCTTTACCTGTCTGTACCCAAGGGATTCAAAAAAATATTTTTTAATGTTTATTTATTTTTGAGAGAGAGAGAGAGTGTGTGTGCACAAGCAGGGGAGAGGCAGAAAGAAAGGGAGACAGAAACTCTGAAGCAGGCTCCAAGCTATCAGCACAGAGCTCGAGGTAAGGCTTGAACCCATGAACCAAGATTTCATGACCTGAGTTGAGAACGGATGCTCAACTGACTGAGCCACCAAGGTGCCCCCACTTTTTCTTTTTGAAAATAATCACCTTTGGGGTGTCTGGGTGGCTCAGTTGGTTAAGCACCCGACTCCTGGTTTTGGCTCAGGTCATGATCTCCCAGTTTCTGAGTTCCAGACCTGTATGGGGCTCTGGACTGGCAGCCCAGAGCCTGCTTGGGATTCTCGTTCTCTCTCTCTCTCTCTCTCTCTGTCTCTCTTCCCCTCCCCCATTCACATGGTCTCAGTCACTAAATAAATAAATAAATAGATAGATAGACAAATGATCTTTATTTTTATATTTTCTCTTCATGGTCTCAATTTAAAGCAATAGAAGACAGTTTTAATTTTTTTTTTTATCCCTGACTGACTTGAATATGGCTACACACTGTCACCATTACAGTATCTCACTACAGTGATGGTTCTCCCATATTAGCTCATGACATGGAAGGGCTGGGGCATGGCCCCCTCAGAGGATTTCTCATAAACCTGAAGAGAAGGGATGCCTTACGGTTGCATGACTAACAGAGATTTCTTGTTTTTCCGGTTAAATTTATATTCAATTTCAATAGGGAACAATGCCTTAACCCCCAAAATGAAACTAGCAATAGAGTCTCAGGCAGCAGTGACAACTCTTTGGAGGCACTTTTAGCATAATATTCTATGGATTTGCTCTCTGTCTTCTACTGGATGTAGAGGGGTTGCTGAAGGGTAGCAGAGCAGAGTGGCTGAGAAGGGTGAAGGGAGGGCTCCAGAGGTGACCTCTCAGGGTCCCCCACTAACAGCATAACTGACTGAGTTACCTACCTCTCTCTGCCCATATGTAAAGAGGACTGATGGGAACAGCATATACCTCATAAAGACATAGTGAAAATTCAATAAGTAATTTATGTAATGTAATTAGAACATTGACTGCTACCTAATGAGCACCTATGCTCCTTATTATTATGTGCTAGAAGTGTTGAAACTTGGAAATATTTTTTTTCCAGATGATGCTTTGCTTTAGACTACAAAAAGTCCTAGAGTCTTTCATTTTGTCTTTCCCTCATTGTCTTTAATGTTTCTCTTTCTCACTAGTTCATTTATATTGGAGGTTGGCATAGGGTGTATGTTCTGTTATGGACTGATGTCCTCTCTTCCCCCTGCCAACCCTCACAAAATTCATATGCTGAAGTCCTAACCCTGAATGTGATGGTATTTGGAGATAAAGTCTTTGGGAAGTAATTAGGTGTGGATGAGCTCATGAGGTGGGGCCCTATCAGATGGGATTAGTACCCTTATAAGCAGAGACCCTTATAAGCTCTTTCTCTCTCTCTCTGCACCTGCATGCATAAGTCGTAGGTGAGATATTTAGCTGACCTAATATTCATTTTCCTCATTTGTAAAAGGGAAGAATGACTCCCTCCCAGGAATTGTTCTGAGGTCTGAGGTCAAGGACATGGTCCCTAGAGAGCGTGGTACTCTCATACTGTGCACTACGACTTAACATGGCTCTTATTATCCCAGCACCTAGAACTTTCTCCTCATTGTTTCTCGTTTTGCTGTTCATGGGTATTTCAGGTGCTTGTATTTACACAGAGAACAGGAGGGGTACAAGTGAAGGGTGACTGCAATTAAAGCCAAGACAAAGAATATCAAGTAGTTAAGCCCTCCAGAAGAAAATATTACATAACCAATTTCCTTTTATTTATTTATTATCATATTTTTAAACATTTTATTTTTTTTAAATAGTTTATTGTCAAATTAGTTTCCACATAACACTCAGTAAA